CCAGTTTTGTGTCGTCAGCAAACTTGCTGAGGGTACATTCTAACTCTTCATCCAGGTCGTTGATGAAGAAGTTAAACAAGACTGGGCCCAGTACTGACCCCTGGGGGACACCACTTGTCACCAGCCTCCAACTAGACTCAGCGCCGCTGATGACAACCCTCTGAGTTCTGCCATTCAGCCAGTTCTCTATCCACTTCACCGACCACTCATCCAGCCCACACTTCCTCAGCTTCCCTAGGACGATATCATGGGAGACTGTGTCGAAAGCCTTCCCAAGGGAATGATGCCAAGCTGGGGTGCTGCAGGCTCGGTGCACCCCACAAGGTCCACAGACACGGCACCACCCTGTCCCTGTCCCTACGGGCACCAACGTTTGTGACCCAGCGCTCCAGCATCGCTGTTAGAACCGGTGGCTGCAGCTCCATCCTGATGTGCCCCAGCAATCACAGCTTGGGGACAGCACCGCCAGGCTGTGTGCCCCACGGCAAGGCTCCGGCTGCACCGTCCTGGGGCTCTGCCTGGTCTCTCCCACCATGCCCAGCCTGCTTCCAGCTACCGCGGCACAGGAGGTGACCCCAGGCACGGCTGGAGGAGCTGGGGGGGAGAAAACGGGTTATGGAGGGAGGGCACGGAGACCCACCTGCAGCCACTCGGACTGGCCGTTGTGGAGCGCCGTCCAGGCGTTGGTTTTGCCCGTCTTGTCCAGGCGAGCGTAATGGGGGTGCCAGGTAAAGGCGTCGATGCCCCAGGTCTTGAAGACACTGGAGGCTGAGATCTGCTGGTCGGAGATCAGGCGGGATTTCATGCCCAGAGGCTCCGAGCAACCTGCCGTGTTGAAATACACTGTAACACAACGGTTTATACAGGCGGTGAAAAGGAAAGAGTCCACAGCATCATCGTGAGCAAAACCCCGCAGCCCCAGCAGGCGCCATCCCCGCATTCCCACTTTTCCGCCGCCCGGAGCTCGCTCGCCGTTCCCTGGGATGTTCAGTTCCCTGGGATGTTCAGTTCCCTGGGATGTTTAGTTCCTTGGGATGTTACATTCCCTGGGATGTTGTTCTGTTCCCCGGGATGTTGTTCTGATCCCTGGGATGCTCAGCTCCCAGCCATTCCCTGGCTCACAGTGCCTCCTGCTGCAGGGACGCAGGGACGGCCCAGGAGGACAGACAGTTTCGGCAGGAGGCAGAGGAGGGTGCTTTTACAGGCGAAGAGAGCAATGCAAAGACATCCCCAGCCACCGCAGCCACGCAGCAGCACGGCACGACCCAAGCCCCCAGAAGGCTCCACTCCCACCCCGGCACGCGGTCCCATTCGGCTGCTGGGGACGTGCCGCAGGGCAGG